ATAGACCTTCTCCGCCTACTCAAAATTCATGTGACGTTTTAGTTTGTCTTAGAAAATAAGGGTCATTCTTACCTTTTACACTAGGTAACAGCCATGATCAGTTATTCAAAGAATGGCTTTTTTTTCATTCCCCCTTTGGCATGATACGTCCATTTCCCTTAAAACATACAAACAAAGTAAGACCGCACTGGAAGGTTAGTCCCCAGTGATTGCACTGATTTAAAGAGATGCTAACGAGTATTTTCCAGGCTCTCATTTTGATAGCTATGCCAACTACAGCATCAATTTGTTGAGAAATATGTACTGCCGTGATTTTATGTGCTTTCTAGTAATCCCCTGGAGGCTCTAACTGTGATAAACATGTTTTCAATCACAAAGTTTGCTTTATTCAGGTTTTCCTAGTCATATGTTGGATCACTATATTGCCAACCTCAAAAAGCCTAGGCCTTCCTCCTGTTTTTCCCCCAACTGTGAATCCAACTTCTCATTGGTGGTTGTAGTTGAACTAGGGAAATTAAGTACGTTGATTGGGCTAGAGATTTGGTTGAAAATAGAATTTTACTTACCAGCTGCTCAGATTACATCTTGATCAGCCATCCAAGATTAATTAATAATTTCAGACTGATGAAAGACCTTGCGACAATTAATCTATTTGACTTCCTGTATTTTACCACTGACATCTTGGATGTGAATTGATTTGATAAGATTCAGAAAGAAAGGCCACCATTTATGTGCTAACCCTTTTCTAAGAACCAGCAGGGGAGCGCGGTGGCTCCATATGATAAGCACTCTAATGCGAACCAGAAAGTCTGCGGTTCGAGCCTGCCAGCCACTCAACAGGAGAAAGATGAGGCTTTCTGCTCCCGTAGAGATTTAAAAGTCCCTGAAATCATTACAGGGTCACTGTGAGTCGGAACCAACTCGAAGGCACTTTAACAACAAGAAGAACCAGCAATTTATTTTCTATATCTATAGCTGCAGGCTTTTTCCTGCAACGATTTTGAACTGGTTTCCTCCTGTTCTGTCCAGAGTTGAGATTGAGTCTAGCTAGTGTCTATGTATGATAGCTCCTATTCTTGCAACAAAGGGTATTAATGGACACCTGGTATGCCGTTTTAGGATCAGCACTGGACTATGAACCACATGGTCGGCAGTTCAAACCTACCAGCTGCTCTTTGGAAATCCTGTACAGGGTCACTGTGAGTCATATCTGACTTGACAGCATTTAACAACAAAAATAACAAGGTGTTATTTAATTGTGTCTCTCCCGTCTCTTTTCCAAATTGAATTTCATTGGTCCGTTAGCCTTATAGGATGAGTTTTAAGTTGCTGTTACATGGAAGACTATTCATAAAAGCCTCTCTGTGTTGTCCACAACTCTCTTTGATGGTGGATCCAGTAGTGGTTGAGTATCGTCAGTACAATGAGAAGAAAGTTGGTTCATACATTCTGTACTGTAAATATAATCAGAAGCCTTTTCGTTTCATGTTTCATTTTGTTGTTTTCAGCTCCTGTTGAGTTGACTCCTGACTCATGGTAACCTAGTGAAATTGAAGCACTGTTGTCCCTGGGGCTTTCTGTGGCTGATATTTGGAAGTAGATCACCAGGCCTTTTTTCCTAGTCTCTCTTAGCCTGCAAGCTCTGTTGAAGCCTGTTCAGCATTACTATCACACACAGGCCTCCGTTGACACAGTGCTAGTGGCTGTGCTTTACATGGTGGTGGTGTTAAAAGCTGTCAAAGTCAGTTCCAACTCCCAGTGACCCTTGATAGGCTTGAGTTCAAGGAGCAGCTGGTGGGTTTGAACTACTGGCCTTGTGGTTCACAATCCACTGCTTATCATACAGCATCACACAAGGAGTCCTGCTTTATGTGTGTTGCTTAAAACTGAACTGGGACTCTCCCATGGAAGTTGAGAATTCTACCCCTCAACCACCACTTCACTCAATTTTCAATTTAGATTTAACTCATCAAACTTTATAACAATTAAACCAAAGAAAATGTTATAATATTGTTCCCATGACAAAGGATAATCAAAGCAGATATATTGCAGATATCTTTTGATTATACATATATTGATACTTAGATTCAGAAGGATTAGAAATATACACTACTGACTAGAACCAAAATTAAAATTTTTCTGTATCTACCTGGGAGTCCTGGTGTGGCACTATATGATAAGCACTGGTCTGCATAGTTGGTTTGAACTACAAGACTGGCAGTTCAAATCTACCAGCCGCTTCTCAGAAACCTTATACAGGGTTGCTATGTGTCAGAATTGACTAGATGGCACTTAACAACAACATCTTGTAGTCTTAGTGTTGTCTCTCATTGATTAGATAATTACAGACGTCTTTTTATAGCATTTTGTTACTTAAGAAACTGAGGAAGGAGATGATGAAGATGAGTTCATCCCTTAAATTGTATTCCAGCTCAGAAATTAGACTGTGTACTCAACTGCTACTGGTGGTAGTGTGCTTTCGATTCGGTTCTGACTCAGAGTGACCCTGTTTCCGAGGCTGTAAATCTTGTAGGCTTGTGGTTCACTGCCCAGTGCTTATCCTATGGTGTTCTGTATTGGGGAGAGAAACCTATAAACATAAGTGCAGTGGAATATTATTGGTGCGGTGATAGAAGTCTGTTTGAGGTATATCGGGACCTGGCCTGGTTAATTATCTTTGATGGCTGGACTGTCGGGCAGGGGACCAATAGGAAGATCTGACACAGGAATTTCAGTGAAGCTGTAGGGTCAGCAGCTTGACTTTAGTGACTGAAGGGTTTTTTTTTTTTTAAGCTTTTATTGTGAATTGGGTGATAGTGTACATGGGAGAACATCAGCTGTACGTTCATCCTGTCATATTTTGTTTCATTGCAATGATTACAGTCCCCTCCATGCACCATCATTCAACAGCTTTTGCTACCATTCCCTCTGTTTTTTTTTTTGGATATACACTGAAGCACTCAGGAATATACAACCATTTAGACAACCAAAAGGCATACCCCTCAAGCCTGCACCCTGGCCATCAGCACACAGTCCCTCTCTCTCCCTGAGTCCAGGGTCCCCAGCTGCTCCATCTCTCCACATCAGTCTCTGCCTCTATCTCTGGTGTCACTGCTTCTCTGGACAGGGTCCCGCACTCTGCTCTTCTCCCTTGATGGTCCCAGGGTCCTCCTCTCCTGGACTGCAAGATCAACCACTCCCCTCCTTTTGTTACAAAACGTCTACCTTTAAATTTCCAACTCTCACAGTCAGTCCTGATAGCAGTTATTCAGTATTGAAGCACAAGAGTCTTACTCCCATCTCCTTTCACCATCCTCATCTAGACAGGTTGGAAACCACTCAGCGGAGATTTTACCTTCCCCACTACCCTTTGAAACTAGGCTCCCTTTTGAAAACTTGGGTAGCCAGTGTCTAAGTTGTCCATCCTTGTTGACCCTGTGTATCGAGGGGGTGGGAATGATCCTCACTATAAAGGTTCATTCCCTCTTTTGAGTTATTACATCCATAATAGGCCAGGTACATGAAATTATAGCAGATTACTCTTTTTTTCCTCTTCTTTTTTCCTCTACTTGAGTTCTGATCATGCAGTCATTGAAGGCAGGTCGAATGGGTGTTAGCTGCAAGTATGGGTGTTCTTGTGAGTATCCCCTCACTTCATATCAGCTGGATGCTTCACTCTCTGATCTAGTCTTCTGTGGCCATGCCCCTGTCCCTGGGTCCAGGAACTTGACCCAGGTCTCATCATACTGCTGGCCAACCAGGTCTCAATGGAGGTGGTCAGGAGTCTGTTGAATGTGGTTGGACTTAGCTCACAACTTCATTGCTATTTTCCCCCCACTTCCCCTTGTTGGTAGACCATCGGTGGTCATCAGCAAGACCACATGCCTGCTCTTGTATTCCCCTTGACTCTCAGTCTTGGGAGGGGGTTTGCCCTGAGGGGACCCGACCACTTGCCCTGATGGCTCCCTGGTGAACAACTTGCTTGTTCTTGTAGTAGTCAATCAGACTGCTGGACTGCCATTACTGTTTTTGATTTTTCCTGCTGGTCTTTCTTTCAAGAAGTATCTTCTGTTCTTCTAGTTGCTCAAGGCTGGTCTGCTTGTAGTAACTGAAGTTTGAGGATGAGGAAGCAGGTTCTGTGGGGTGTAGATGTGTCCCACCCACCCACCAAGCAGGTATTCTCAGAAGATAAAATAATTGGGGGACACAGGATTATAAGAGATTCTCTTCAAATATGTTGTTGTTATTAAGTGCCGTCGAGTCGATTCTGACCCATAGCAACTCTGTGTCAAGTTTCCAAGGAGCAGCTGGTGAACTTGACCCACTGAATTTGGTAAAGGTTATTGGGGGGAGGGGAATGATGGATAAAAGGGATAGATATGTGGTAACTTAAGTATAACAAAATGCCCACTGTGGCTGCTAGGGTGTAGATGAATGGGTGTTCACAACACAGTCTCTCAACTTTTCTCTGTTTGAAGATTGTATAATTAGACATTGGACAAAACACAAAGAGAACAATGGAGACACTTACTCTTTACGTTGGCAGTTCCATGTGGAAAGTCAGGTGTAACACAGGACTCATTCTCATCTGCTGAACCATGTGGCCAGGGAGAATGCTGGGTGGATAACAGCCATGGGGAGTGGGAGGCTGGACCGAGCAGGCTTAGGTAAAAGGACTAAGTGATGATGTTCACATCAGGTGAAGCTGAAGGACAGAGTTGGGCTACTGTCCAGCTTTCTTGTCGGGAGACAACACAGTAGAAGAAGCAAGGAAGGTCGATAGTTTAAGCAAGTACAAGTCAGATGAGTGGAAGGAATGCCTGATGACCTCCAGGATGGAACAAGTCCTGACCTCCCTGACTCCCTGTGGGGTGGGATTCTGTCTTCCACCTTGTTGTGGTTTTCTTTGAATACAGTGAGATAGAGATCATACTACACAGCTTTGTCAACACTGTTATTGTTAACATTTTAAACTGAGATCATTGTATCCTCTCCCGTAGGTCAAAGAAGAGCGACCAGAAAAAATACCCAATTTAAAATTATTAGTGGAGAAGAAATTTGTGGCACTCCAGAGTAAGAATTCTGATGCAGATTTTCAAAACAATGAAAGATTTGTGCAGTTTAAACAACAGCTGAGAGAACTAAAGAAGCAGTGTAAGTCAGCATGCTTTGCGGTGTTTTGGCTTTTGCAAATTCAGGATCTGCCTGGATGAACAGCCCTAGGGAAAAGTTTGCTTATCTGCTTGGCTTGATTCTTCTTTCTGAATTGCTTCTTATTGTTGTTATAATTCTGTATTTTTGTCTGACTTTTGGTTCAAATCAGTCTGCTCATTTCTAAAAGTCAACAGTTTCCACAAAGTGCTAAGAAAATTCCCCAGCCCGCAAAGTCACAGCATTGTCCCACTGCTGGGGAAGGGAGCTGGGGAACAAAATCAAACCTAAGACCTTCTCAGTTTTCTAGGTTCTATTGATTCAAACAACAATGGCGTTTCTTCACATTTGAAACTGCTGTGCCAAGCTTGAAAATCACCAGACTTTGTTCTGGTTTTGCTGCTTCCAAGAGTGGTTTTATCAGTTTCTTCAAGAGAGTTTTTCTCCTCTTCTCAAATATGGACCCTAATCCCACCCCTTCCCACAATTCCTTCTGTCTTTGTGGCAGTGCAATTTTCATATGATTTTATAGTATCTTGACTTCTTAATAATTGTATGAATTTTTTTTTCTCTAATGAACATAATTTTGGAAATGAAAGTGGGGAAAATGATGTATTTGGCAAAGTTTTGTAGACACTTTTTATAGATACTCTTTGCCAGAGATAATATCTTTTGTGCACAGTGAAGCTCCTATCATTTCTTCCCTCCCCCGCCCTTTTTTTAATGTGAACTAGGTAATTATTTTATGTACAGATAATGTTTTTATATTAGCTCCTATTTAGTTCTGTTGCCTTCCTCACTTTAGGATTGAGACACTTATTCCATAAAGAACTGAATAGTGAAACAAACAGCTTATTGAAAAAAACAAGTTAAAGAAACCGTTAATCTCACATCACCTTCATTTACATACACGTGACCCAGGGATGTTGTATAATATCAGATAAACATTTTCATGTCCTCATTTGTGTTTAGTGGTGGGTTTGTATTTTGAAATAGAGCTTCTTTTAAATATAAGCATTTTCTTTAAACTGATGCTGAGGTCTCAAAAAATGACTGAGGAAGCTGCTTGGCTTTTGTCTATTGTACAAATAACTGGAGTTTCACAATTTGGACTATTTTGCAATCATGATGAGATACTTGCTTTTACTATAGATTTAAATAGTAAGCATTTCCCCCATATTTTGGAGCTCTACTTGGTATTCTTCATTGAACATCCCAGTGACCAAAATCTTTCTAAAGCAATTGGCACTATTTCCCCAAATGGGTGGTAATTCCCCAAACAGGTAGTCGTTTGTTAGTGGCTTTCTGATAATCAAGATGCTGATGGGTTTCAGTTTTGGTGTTGGTTAAAAAAAAAAAAAAAAAAGGTGTGGGGGAAGTGTCATTTTCCTTTACTGCTTGGATTGGATTGAATAATCAAGCATTTGGTCCATGGAGCCTTCCATTATATTCCTGGTATGTTAGGTGGTTTGTAATACAGGTAGAGTAAGAAATACCCCAGTGTATAAATGTCTTCAGTCTTCGCTATTATCTACAAAGTTATTTTTCCATACAAATAAAAACCTAAAGACTTTGGAATTGTATGTTCATGGGGAAACTCTTTTAAATTAAGAACATGTAATTCAACTCAGTGACAAATGTTGGAATCATAGTCATTGAATTTTAATTTTTTCTGAAATGAAACAGAAAGTTTTCCCCAGGCCAGCATTACATGCTGTTTGTGTAGACTGTTAAACTATGACAAAGTAAGCTTAAATTGAAAGAAATACTTCCTTATATAAGGTTTCCTATATGGTAACACTAGAATCAAGATAATTTTCCCTTTTATTTCCCCTAACATATTCATTTAAGAAATTTTTTAATTCTCAAATAATAGCTAAATATGAATACTCTCTTAAAAGTGCTCTGTAATATATACATATATATACATACATCAGTATGTTACCTTACTTGCAAAGTGTACCTTAGTACACTGTTGTTAGCACTCTCAGTTAAGCGTGTTCCGTGTCTAGTGGATTGTATTTTTTTCAGTTGAATGAAGCTTTGAGGGTTCTAGTTAGGAGGATCCCACCATATTGGTACAGACTGGCCAAGGGGACTGCAATTTATAAGTGAGCTAGTGAATGTGTATGTTTTTGAGAGATGTTCTAGAGGCAAGACATTATAATAATAATAGTTTTTAAAATTGGAAAATAGAGGCAAAGGAGAGATACTTAGCTTGAATTGCCTATGTTAGCAAAGTAAAAGGCTGACGTGTTTTCTGATATTCAGATATCTGAGGGGTTCTTTCATGAAAATAACCACAACGTTGTCACCGATTTCCTTTTACAAGAACATGCATACATTGGGTGAAATTTGACCAGTTAAGAATCTAACCAAAGACATACGAGACTGCTTGTAGATGGTGAGAAGTCAGGATGGAGATTGGAATAAGTTGGTCAGCGAGATCAAGTGGCTAGACCTGAGACAATGCCCAAACTGGCTGTCTTTGCCTCTATAGTAATACGTTACCTCAACTTGATTTAATTTAGTAGCTGGTTCTCACACTTTCTACACTCCTGTATGCTCTTCAAATTTATCAAGAGCTCCCAAAGAGCTTTTGTTTACCTGATTTGATAATCATCATATTAGAAAGTGAAACTGAAGAATTTGGAAAACATTTACTAACCCCATTTACATATTACCATAAACAGCATTTTGGAGGACACACAACTATTTTCCAAAGGAAAAAGTAAAACTATTGACAAAGGTAGCATTATTTCATATTTATGCAAATCTCTTTAGTCTCTGGTGTAATAAAAGACAGCTCGATCCTCCGATTTTCTTCTGCCGTCAGTCTGTTGTGATTGAAGACTAGGAAGGAAATCGGCCACATCCATGGTAGGTGAACCTAATGAAAGGGTTTTGTGAACCTGGTTCTCTTTGAGAACCACAGCTGTAGAACGGGGTTTAGTAAAGTATGGTCCATGGCCCACATCCAGTATGTTGTTGTTGTTGTTAAGTGCCGTCGAGTCGGTTCCGACCCATAGCGACCCTGTACAGGGTTTCCAAGGGTGTAAATCTTTACGGGAGTAGAAAGCCTCATCTTTCTCCCGCGGAGCGGCTGGTAGTTTCGAACCGCTGACCTTAAGGTTCGCAGCCCGATTCGTAACCACTACGCTAAGTATACCGCCTGTTAATGTGTGGCCCACAAGCTAAGGATGCTTTCTACATTTTTACATAGTTTGAGGGAAAAAAAATCAAATGAATACTATTTTATAAGTTGTGCAAATTACATGAGGTTCAGATTTCTGTGTCCATAAGTCGTTTTATTGGAACACAGACCCATCCATCCATTCATTCATGTCCATATTGCCTGTGGCTGCTGTCCCAGTACTGAGTTATACAGCTAAGTTGCATCTGGCCCATGAGGCCTAAAATGTTTGATATCAGACTCTTTACAGAAAAAGAGTTTACCAATCCCTGCTCTAGACCATTTCCAGAAAGGAGCACAGTTGGGCTGTTTTTAAAACTTTAGATTTTGCCTAAATACCATGCATTCATTTCACGTAAGTTTAGAAAACTTTATGTGCCATTTACGTACGGGACAGTGCAGTTGGTGCTCTGTGAGATATAAAAGGCAAAATCTCTGTACTTGGAGAAGATAATGGATACAAACATGAAATAATTGGAGACCCATTCACAACAAATGCCAAGTCAAGAGTGAATAAAATGTCAGGAACAAAGGTGTACAATGTGGGATGGAGGTGAGCAGAGACCAGCTAGGAATGTGGGTTTTGTCTGTCTATTAGCACTGCCAGTCTTTTGCTAGTGGCTGCCCAGAGCCATGTGTCCAGATCACTGCTAGGCTAGATTCAGGCCCAGAAGCAAGAGATCCTCGAAGAGTAGGATGGGAAAGGGGAGGAGCCAACCAGAGGCCTAGGAGTTGCTATTTCACACATGATTCTCCTTTTGATATTCGAACTCTCAAGGTTCCAACATGCCTTCATTGCCCACACAAGCTTCCTTTATTTTTTTTATTTTCACATGTACCAACAACTGTGCTGATGGAGTAGGACTGGCCAGTGTTTCAGTCAGGGTTTGGTTCTGTTGGACACAGGGTTGTTGTGAGTCAGGATTGACTTGACATCACCTAACAACGTCAAGTGCAGTGAGTTAAGTGTTGGACTGCTAACTGCAAAGTTGGTAGCTCAAACCCACCAGCTGCTCCATGAGAGTAAGACAAGGCTCCGTGCCTCCATAAAGATATGCCGTCTCGACAACCCTGAGGCACAACTCTCGAAGGCACAGTCAACTCTGTCTTGCACCATCCTTAGGAGTTGGAATCAACTCAATGATGGGTGGGAGTGGGGGCATTCTTCTGTTTTTCTCAGGTACTAGAAGGGGTTCCAGCAGCGCAATGGTTAAGTGATTGACTGCTAACTGAAAGGTCAGCAGTTTGAACCCATCAGTGTCTCCCTGGGAGGAAAGACCTAGAGGTCTTCTCCTATAAAGATTGTTGTTGTTATTAAGTGCTGTTGACTTGGTTCCAAGTCACAGGGTCCCTATATCAGGTTTCTGAGGAGTGACTGGTGAGCTTGAACCACCAACCTTGTGGTTCAAACCAAGCGTGCAGTCCAATGCATTAACCTGCAGCGCTACAGCCTAGGAAATCCTATGGGGCAGTTCAGCTCTGTCACGTGGGATCACTATGGTGGGAATTGAGTCAACGGCACATAATAACAGTAACAAGCAGGTACTAGATCTACTCTTTTTGACAAATCATTTTGTCTTTTGAATCCCTACTGTCTTTTAGATTGGTGGTGGTGGGTGGTGGGTGGTGGTGGTATGCCGAGGAGTTGGTTCCGACCCACAGCGACCCTGAATAGGGTTTCCGAGGCTGTAAATCTTTACAGGAGCAGAAAGCCGCATCTTTCTCCCACAGCACTGTTGGTAGTTTCAAACTGCTGACCTTGAGGTTACTTGCCCAACTCGTAACCACTACACTACCAAAGCTCCTTAGA